TCCCAGAATTCCCCAGCCAGCAGAGCTGGCTGGAGAATTCTGGGAGTTGAAGTCCACAAGTCTTAAAGTAGCCAAGTTTGGGAACCACTGGTATAAAGGACGATTTATAATGTTTAGTTGGGTTGGGGGTCTCAGCTGATTACTAAAATGGCATAATAACATCCTAAGTGCCTTTTCCACGCTCCTCTCGGAGATTAGAAGAAACATCTGGTTAAAAACAGAATAATAAACTGTGTCAGAATAAAACTCTCGAGTTTTTCTTTGCGATTTTCTCCATTACCTGTCCCACACCAACATCAAAATAGTCTCCCTGCAGATAATAGATGTAATTTTCCACTCACCTCGGAAAATTAGGTCTAAATTTATGTACTCTTTGCTTTTGGATAAAAATGCCTGGTCTCAAAAAATAATTGTGTTGTGTGACAGCCGCAGTGTAAGTGGTCCCACCGAGCCTTTTGATTTGGCCTCCTTCAAATCACACCATGCGCATCTTCAGTGCATTTGCTTAATGAACTCTTTAGGTGACGCCGTGCGTCTTTATAAAGTGGCGGCTGAACTGAAATCCTTGCCCTTTGCGTAAAATAAAAGAGTTTCTTCATTCCTGCTTGGAGACCTTAAACGGGCCGAAAGTATTTGATGATGTGAATGTTTGATCCGAGTCTGGTTTTGTAGCAGTCTGGAAGAGATTTGCAAGTGCAATCTCTTTCCTTGCATAAAGTACGACCCTTACTGCCTTGTCAAAGGCTTAGCCTGAAACTTCTTAATGTTCAACCGTCTGCCGAGTGATTAAGCTACAAATAAAGGGATAAGGTAAAGGTTCTGCATGTATGTCCTAGTTGTTCCGGACTCTAGGGGGCGGTGCTCATCTCTGTTTCAAAGCCGAAGAGCCAGCGCTGTCTGATGACATCTCCGTGGTCATGTGGCTGGCAAGACTAAACGCCGAAGGCACATGGAATGCTGTTACCTTCCCACCAAAAATGGTCCCTATTTTTCTACTTGCATTTTTTTACCTGCTTTCGAACTGCTAGGTTGGCAGAAGCAACAAGTAACTGGAGCTCACTCCGTTACATGGCGCTAGGGATTTGAACCGCTGAACTGCTGACTTTCTGATCGACAAGCTCAGTGACTGATCCACCGCTACCTTACAAATAAAGGGATACAGAAGTAATAGATGATAGGCAGGTAGGTAGATATAGGACAGAGAGAGATAGCAATAGCAATAGCAATAGCAGTAGACTTATATACCGCTTCATAGGCCTTTCAGCCCTCTCTAAGCGGTTTACAGAGAGTCAGCATATTG